ATTATAAGTGTCACTCCACAACTGTGCACACGGATTAAGGAAACAATTAATTTTACATATTTCCTATATAAAAACACAGTTACCTATACACCTAACCATATTTTAACCAATAGAAAAATTAGTTACATAATAAAATTAATAAATTTTGCATTGAAAACTGAAAACGACACTTATTTTGTAACGCAAAAAATTCTCTACAACGACACTTAATATGAAACGGAGGGAGTATTTGCTAACAATTTGTATACCCTCTACCATATTTGTTTAAATATTTGTTATTAAAATAATTTACACAGTTAAATTATTTATATAATAAAAATTTATATTTTTCGTATATATTGTATTTTGAATTTTTTAAAATGGGTATAAATTACTAAATTGTTAAATATCTCAAATAAACTTTTGTGATCAATGGTTTAATTTTTTATTATAATAAGATACAAATAATTATAAAATACATGAGAAAGACATCTTATTTAATATGTTTATATTAATATATATATATATAATTTAAATTAAATTACATACCATATAAATACATACTTATATTTTGATATTTTATTGAAAAATATTTTAATTTAATATTTTAATTTTAAATTTTAAATTTTAAATTTTGCATTCAATTTTTAATAGTTCAAAATTTTATTATAAAAATATATTGATAATCATAAAACCTTATAATGAGAAAATTCATTTACTAAACATCCATATTTAAAATATATTATAGATATTGTTAATGTCAGTTAAATTTAGTTGTATCTAATATATGATGGATAAAATTGATTGTGTTGATTTGTTTACCATAAACTGATTGTTAATAAATAAGAATAATCGTTTGGTTTAAGTGCACACATCAAATCTCCTATATATTAATTGAGGATCATTTAAAATGTTATAACCTTAAGTTTGTACTAGTTAAAAAAAAAATCATATCTTATCTGGCAGTTCTCTATGAAATTCTACTTGGAAGAATTCTAGAGCACATTATATAAATCATAGTTTTAAAACAAAGTCTGTTGGTCTCATATAAGACATATCAAACTAAATAATATATCAAACTAAATCTCCTCTATATTCTTTCCTTAAATAAAAAATGCGGATTACCTAATGTGATTAAGATATATATATATATATATGAATATTAATGATTTTAAATAATAATGATTTGTTAAAAATATGTATACTTTATATCATTTTTGTTTAATTTATTATTATTAAAATAAATCACAAAACTACACTAATCAGGTAATAAAAATTTAGAATTTTTATATATTTTTTTATTTTTAAATGTTTAAAACGAGTATAAATTACTAAAACTGTTAAAAATCTCACATAAAATTTTGTGATCAAGGTCTAAATTTTTTTTTCTATAATAAGTTACAATGATTATAAAATCATATGAATAAATAATTTTCTTTTAATAGGTGTTTATGTTAATATATATATATATGTATATATATACGTATATATATATGTATATATATATCTCATATCCTAATAAAGAATTTTATTTTAAACATAAATATAAATTAAAATTTAACTTAATTTTTTATAAAATTATTTTTATTAAAAAGTTAATTTTGAAAAATATAATTTTCTGATATTATTAGACAAAAATAAATTTTATCAAATTAGTTTTGATATTTATATATTCTAAATGCGAATATTCTACGAACTGCTTCTTAAGAAAGCATTAGGGAACTTGATAATGCTCTACTAATTAAGCCATGTGATACTACGTTTATTTTTCATCTCTCAAACACTGAAAAGTGAAAAGAATATGAATAGGACCCATTAAATTATAAGTTTTGATCTACAGTTCTAATTACAATTGTTTCTGATCTTACGTATAGATAATTATATAAAAAATTTAAAATTCTAAATACATATAAAAACAATCATATGTAAATTTTAAATTTGTGAATACTAAAATTTTATATTTTAATTACATACACTCACCCTGCGCAAAGCGCATGTCTTATCCTAGTTCATAATGGTATAGTAATAGTTTATAGACACCAAACGACCCATACAATATTTAAAAGGTGCAATATATTCTATTAACAATATAAATACAATTTGTATATTTATAAAAGCAGACATATATAGTTAATTAAAATACACATTATCATGTATATAACTATAACAAAAAGTAATCATACTATATCAAAGTTACAAATATATAGATTGTTGCTTAGAAAAAAACATACTAAATTGTTTTACCAGTTTCAGAAAAAGACTATGACGCTTTAATGAATAAATTTTTATAGTACATCTATAACAATGTGATTATCTATATGAATTGAAAACCCAGCTTCTTTTTACCGTTATTGGATGCAAAAAAATAGAACCAAATATGTTGATCACAATATAAAGGGGAACTAGGATAAGACCCGCGCCTTGCGCGGGATGAAGCTATTATTTTTATTATGTTTTGAAAAATGAAACAATAGTTCGGTTTCATTCGGATTATAGGTGCTCAATCCGGATATCGGGTTTCGGTTCGGCTCAATTTTTTGTCCGATTTTTGGTATTTCGATTATTAAAATATAACTACTATTCTAAATCTATATGTACTACAGTTTGATTTGGTTTATATACCATCGATTTTCAGTTATTCAATTTTATACCAAAAAACATAATTATTTAGTTTGAGATCATATTATATATTATACAAATATATAATATGATCATATTTAGAGTCATATTGCCACAGGGTCATTTATTAAAAAATATTATATATTTAAATAAAACAAAAAAACAAAAAAGGCTTCTATCATCTAATAAAATGATCAAATCTAGAATTAATATCAAAACACTAAATTTTGAAGAAAAAAAAAAGAATCATGAAAGAAAAGTTTTTATATTCTTCCATATTTAGTGTTCATCAAACCAATATGTCTTTGATTGAACACAACTCTGTTTGTTTAAAGATAAAAAAAATTGTAAAGAATTTCAACTAATTGTTGTCCATCAAATTTATAATCTTTACTTCAATTTAGTTACTGTTAAAAAAGCAAAAGATCAAAATAAAAAGTCTCAGTTGTAATAAATTATTAGCTATTTACAAAATATAATTTCAGTTTAATCGGTTATAAATCAACCATATCCAAATCCTATGGTTTTTATAAAATCACATCCATTCGGTTTGTAAGGTATATACCAAAAATAACCATATTATCGATTGTTAATATCTTTTAAAAATATAAAATTAAAAAAGAACTAAGATATTTAAATCATTGATAACAAAAATTTATATGTGAAAAATTTAATAAGTTTATAATTTATAAATGTTCTTGAAAATTTATTGAAAATTTTGAAATTAAAATATTTATGTAATCTTATATGGTATATAGTTTAATCTGTATATATATTTGTTTTATTATTGAATGATACTTTTACTTATATGGTTTTAAAATCATGTATATATTTTTATAATAAAAATGTTAAACTATTGATCATTAATTTTTAACATAATAATTTTAATAGTTTAGTTATTTATTCTCGTTTTTAAAAATTCAAAATATAACTTATACGAAAAAATCGAAAGTTTAATTTTATAGCTAATTTGATTGTTTAATTTATTTTAATAATATAAAATTAAAGAAAAATGATGGAGGATATATAAACTGTTATCAAATATTTATTACTAGGTGACTGGCCCGCACCCTGTGCGGGCATGAACATAATAAAAATATGGAATAAATAGTTCATAGTTTAGAAGTTATAGAATTTTTTTTTCATTATTTTATTTTTTATACATTTTATATTATCATTACAAAATTGTGTTATATATATATTACAATTGTATATTGGACAGGTCTTATATATTTTAGGTGAATATCGAATTTATGTTTATATTTTTTTTTGTTATAAACAGTGTCATATTTAAAAAACAAATCTGATAAAAAATGAAATATAATCTATAAGTTATATAAATTAAGAAGTACAAATCTCCATAATTAAAAACAAAATCCAACCGAAACCTGCAAAAAAAATTATTAAATTTTGTAAGCAATTGTTCGAAATAATGAAATTTGATAGATTATAAATTCTTAACTTTTATTAAAGATAAAATGATATTAAATTTACATACCACCATCAAAATAGTCCGAAAAATGGGTTGTAGTCAACTACAATTGGTCTCCTAAAGAATCACGATTTATCTGGTAATAAAAGAAAAAGTAAAAAATTGTAAGGCCATTGGAGGGTGGAACCAGAGCCATTGTAAGGCAAAAAATTGTTAGGAAAAGAACAAAAGTTTGTATTGTAAGAGCTTGGGGGTCTCGATTATATATACTCTAAATTCCACGTTAGTTAATAGGTGCAATTTAGTACAAACATTAAGGTAAATAACATTTAAAGAATGCAATAAATATGGGTTACTGGCGCAAGTAATTCAAACTAAGGGAAGTTATTAAAAACAAAGTTAAGGCAGTGAATATTTTTTTTATTAAAATCAAAACATTAAGGTAACTAATATTCAAAGAAAGCAATAAATCTTACATAAACTAATGCAAGTAATAATATGCATTAAAATATATTGGGCTCTTATTTAATAACCAATAAATTTCTGGTAAATTTTATGTCACAAACCGATGATACCGGGTTATTTATATTGGTTTATTTTATACCATTAGAAGAGAGGAGAATGAATATACCTTGGTCCATGTCTAAGCGTTCGGCAATACACTGAGCTTGAGCGGCTGTTGAATATACCTTGGTCCTTGATGTCCCTTTCATTTAATATATACGCTCCACCTAATTGTATACAAGCAAACACAAGTGTATATGTTTTATATCAAAACAGCTTCGACGGGTTGTTGTATATTTACTGGTGGAATCGTCACATAAAAGATTTATAAAGTCTTTACATTAGCATACCTGGATATAGTCAAACTCCAGGAACTAAACTAACCCAAAAACTTTGTATTCCATACTTTAAGACAGTCAGCCTGTGTAAGCTGCGTAGTGGCTGAACAAAAATGCGAGAAGATGCTTTACTTGTGGCTGAGAGGATTGCATAATCTGAATGGAGAGATACTGAGAGAAGATGAGCATCCGAGTGGTGAAAGATATGCTAATGTCTCTGACCATCCGAGTGGTGGATGTCCCTCCTGCGAAACAAATTGAGATTTTTAATAATTTCATCTTCATCTGACAACAACCATACAGCAAAACCAATTAGATTAGACTTTAATTCTAAATATAATTTCATCTTCATCTATCTTATTAAAAAAACATGATCATTATATCGAACTAACATTGTTATTTATAAATTGTCATTAGAACTCTCAATTCGTTGAACATGTGTCTATACTTTACTTTCCACGTACGTTGGTTGTTTCAGGGTTCGATAAACCAAGTCCGTTGTTACCTTGTCTCTTTACAAACATATAATACTGATTAGCAGTTTAATGGTTTTTTATAAAAATACAAAAGTGTTATTATAATATGACGAGCACCCCCACTCATGTCACTCAGAAATCTTTGAGATTTTTAATAATTCTGAAAGATAATTATATTAAATTATGCTGTTTTATTAAAAAACGGTTATGTCTATATATTAATTAGAAAGGTTTGAAACGTAAACGAACCTGGTCCTTGAAACCACGAGAGAGCATTTCATCAGCTTCATCAAGAACAAACATCTTGATGTGATCAGCACGGAGAGACTGTCTCTTCAACATGTCAAAGACACGTCCTGGAGTTCCAAGAACAACATGAACACCAGCTTGGAGAATACGGTGATCCTCACGGACACTGGTTCCACCGACACATGCGTGTACCTTGACGCCAAGGTAGTCACCAAGAGCCCTCATGACCTTCTCAATCTGCTGAGTAAGCTCTCTGGTTGGAGCAAGAACAAGAGCCTGGCACTGGACAAGGCGGTAGTCTAGCTGCTGCAAGACACCAGAGCAGAATGTCGCGGTTTTACCAGTACCGGATTGAGCTTGTTGGATCACGTCGAGGCCTTTGCAGAATGGGACGATTCCTCTTTGCCTTAATTTGAGGCTGCCAAGACTTCATAGCCATTGCAGATTCCACCTATAATAGAAGAAAACACTATTTCAGTAAAAAAAGATTGATGTTAATAGATTCTTGGCTTTAGCAAGTTATAGAAACAAAGAGAAAGGAACCTGCTTTTTGGTCAATGGGAAGGTAGCAGCCTTAACAAGTACAGTGAGTAGAATGATAGCGAAACCATAAGAATAAGGAACGTGTACAGATAACCCATCTTTCAAAACCTGCAATTCAAATCTTAACTAAATCCAATTACACATGTAAACATAATCAAATCTTGAGTCTTTGCAGCCTCAAGTTACTTCGATAAAAAGGAGAAACTTTTTTCTCACCTTGAGAATAGTTTCCATGTAATTGGCGATACCAGTGAACCAATCACTGGTCTGGTCAGTCGTGGTGGTAGTAGTGCCGGAAACAGAATTAAAAGTCTCATCACCGATCGTGTAGAGAAGATTCTGAGCATGTTCTTTGATCAAATTGAGATACACGGGACCTTGACTGAACCCGGATTGAGCCACCAGAGTCCGACGATAAGACGAAGAAGAAGAAGGTCTGTGGGTGAAACGGGCGCGGCGGAGATGGAGGACTCTGCCTGTAGAGAAAGACGAGAGGAGAAGGTTCCTCGGCTTTAAGGATATCGAAGAAGCCATCTGCAGCCACAACAAAGGTACGGAGATTTAGGGTTTTTGACTCACCGACAATCAAAAATTCTCAGCAAAATCAAATCCGCTCGATTGCGTATTAAGAGGAAATTGTTTTCACCAATCAACGTTATCCCCAAGCCAAAACGATGAACATCGGAGGATAGGATTATTAAGAACACTCTCAAATCAAATGTTCCTCTGTCGTGTTAGGTTTACAGAAGAGGGACCACAATGAAAAAAAAAAACAACTTTCATTTGTTTTCCATCGTACGAGAGAGAGGGTTTTTTTAGTTTGTTCTTTTGAGTTATTTTTTATGTGGGATAATTCGTTTAAAAAGAAAAAATAAATTAAAAATGTCTACCAATCAAATTAAAAGGATTTTCTTGAGAGTGGCTGTATGATCGACACGTCAGCAGAAGTCAATAATATGACTTCTCAATTAATAGAAAGGGGGATTATAATCATTAAGTGTCATATATATATATTAGTCATTTATGGTAATTCCATAGGTTTTATTTATGGAAAGAAAATAAAATAGTAATTATATATAGGGAAACAATCATAAATGCTTCTATCATAAATATCATATCATATAATTTGACCAACGAATGTATCTAGCGACATATAAAAATCGAATGTGGACCTACTTATTTTTCAATTGAATGTAATTGACTACCTAATTGAGTGACACCTAAGCTTGGGGTCTTTTTTAATTATTACAAAAGTGAGGTTACAATTTTTTAAATGTTTCTCCTTTAATATATAAGGGATAACATAAACTCGTAGCTATGTCACATCATTTATATGATTTCGACAAATCAGAAAGTTTGAATTATAACTCGTCGTATTATTTATAACTCAAGACAAAGTTTTATTGGACCAATTATACTGGACTTAAACCATTCTAACAACAGCCTAAATAATTTCAATTGGTCGTCATAGTTGAAAAATGACTCTTCCATCTCTCTCCCATCATGAAATTCATCGGTCTCTGCAACTCACGAATGTAATAATCCAATCTAAATCATTAAATTTGTTCTTAACTCTTGTATTTATGAGATATGGTGTCGTTCAACATCCCTTTGTTTTTTCATCTATATATCTCTCAGTAAATCTTATGTCCAACCATAATCAAAAATTAAAATTATGGCCATGATTTTGAAAATCCCGGTAAGTCTCATGTCGAACGCTGTGATCAGGAGGTTAGATATTTCTTGGTTTTAGCTTAATCTTGACCATTCTAAATCTGTAAATTTCTAAATTTCTAATTCAGCTTAATCTTGGCCACTCGTAGCGAGTTAGAGAGCTTTTAGAGGACATTGAGGAAGATTTGGTGGATGATGAAGTTGCAGAGTTTAGAATTGATCATTTTAAGGGCCAATGAAGTGTGCAAGAAGAAGCGTGAGTGATTCTGATATTCCATATTAACAAAATTTTGTGCAAACTCTGCCGGTGCGACCACTAATTCCTCAAAGTAATTATTCTTTTCTAAGTTAAGTTTCAAGTTGCCAGCTTTTGCATGATTGATGTTGAGAGTTATACAGAGCATTGCTTCGGGTTTGTTATCATCACTTAGGTTTAATTGATTATTTATATTATTTCCTTCGTATAGTCACAATACTTTTTATTAGTTTTTTTTAGTTTAAATGCACATTGAAGATATAGTATATAAATATATATAATTTGGAGATCATTAAACATATATTAATGTGCGAGTCAGAAGTTTTGTGTTGTTCCCGGTGTAGGATTACTTGCCCCCAAATTCTACATTATTTTTTTCAAGATGATTCTTCTTACTTTTCAAATGGATTCTGACTTGCTTAACCGTTGATTACATCTTCTCTAGCTTGATTGTTTTTCATCTATTTATTGGATACATTTTAGAGGTTGTCATCCATGGGTATGTCAAGTTATTGGCTTTGCAACTGTAATTGTGTGCTCAAATATTCATACGCAACAACACTTGATGTGTACAATAAAATTATCTGAGAATGTAAACCTATGAACAAATAATTGTTGCTTATATTTTGCTTCACCATATATATATATATATATATATATATGTATAAGTGAGTTTTTAAAGTATAAGACCATAAGCTTGCTCTTCTTCATTTTCTTCATACACTTGCTCATCCTTCCCCAAATCGTTTCTTTTCATTCCTATATAATCATCCCTTCTTTATCAATTAACAAATGGATTATTGCATAACTTTTTTTTTGTGCAATATGATTAACCCATAACTTGTATATATTATTCAGTACATGTTGGATATTTTTTCATTAATAAGCAGGTTTTTCTTTCCATGGATAGAATATCCATAATCTAAATTCAAAAATGAAGTCAGAATGCTTCATGATTTTATTTATTTTCTGAGTTATTTTCTTTGAACAACCGTTTTATCTAAGTGATCGAATGGATGTGTTTGGTTCCGTTTGAATCTAATGTTGTTAGTTAGAACTTAGAATATATTGAGTTTTAGATGGACACTTCAATTTTTTTGGTGACACAATTATGAATTTTACTTTCAGTGATGTATAGTAAATGTCATAGAATCTTTCGGGATATGCTTGTTAAAAGCCTGTGGGAATGTCTGGTAAAAAGTCACAGAGATTCATTAGAGATTTGTGTTGTACTTCTTAATTTGTTGAGTGTTTGTAATCAATCTTATCTCGTGGCTGAGGCATATTTTTTATGGTGAACTCAAATTCTTGAACATCATTTGTCACTCTCACTCCATCTCTCTTTACCTTCTTCATCTTAGACGTCTTAGATACGTTGACCTTAACTCTTCTTGAAGATTCACCTATTTCCACAAAATTCACCACTTTCTTGAGCTTCTCCTTCTTCTTAGATGTTTTGGATTCTTCAGTTTTCTTCTCGATTGCTTTGAACTCAACTCCTTCCATGGATGCATCTTGTTATTTTCTCTTGAGCAAGGTACGAGACAATGCAGTAGAATCCAACTCAACATAGCCTCTAAGAGCCACACCTCTTTCACCAGTTAGCCAGACCACATGTACATAGTGTGAAAACCTCAACAGTTCAGACCTCAGGATCCTTCTCCTCACACTCATCCCTTTCTTCCACTTTTTCTTTGAACACTGAAATAAACACATCCACACGTTCCAACATCATAACCTCTATATTGCTCTCATTGTTGTCAAGAACATCAACAACCTCGTAAGAACACTTCTTCAAGCTTCCCACCTTGATTGCATAAATTTAGTTCTTGTACATTGTCCAAATATCACCAATCTTGGAAATGATAGTATACTTTTTTTACTCCTCTCTTGTGTTTTTATCTCATGTAAAAAACCAGTCATGTTAATGAGCGTCTCTCTCTGACTTTTCTTTAAGGTGAATTTTCCACAGTCCACTAGTATCCTTTTGTACCTCCACTATGTAGCATCTCAAGAAGTGATTTTAGCTTTGCCTTATTTATCTATAGTTTAAACATTGGCCTCCACTATACCTTATGAATTATAGCATAGTACTTAGGCAAACCTTCCTCTTTACAGTCCAGTGACCATATCTGATCAGCTGTGAACTTCCCTTCTGATCTTTCCCTACTGAAGTTATGGAATTTAAAATTAGGAATGATGATACAGTATGGCTCTGATGCGCTCCCTGAACTTGTAGTGGTGGTTCTTCTCCAGCGATTATTCGTCCTCGAGGTGTAACTTTGATAACAGCTAACCAGTTTATTCCCGAGGTAGTAATCCGAGGGTATGGAATGAAACAAACTTGATCTGCTTGGGAAGCTAATATGAAAGGCTCGAACTTGTTGTACCTACAAAACTAAAGATCAACATAAAAATTAATTAATACTCGAAACCTGGATATAAAAATAAAAGAATTTGTTGTACCTTCGTCCACCATTGACATCAACTACACCGTTCTTGTTAATCCGAACACCTCTGTTGACGACGGGGTCATACCACTCACACTTGAAGATAACGCATTTCAGACTCATACTTGGGAATTGAACTTCATAAATCTCCTGCAAGAGCCCGTAGAAATCTGTTTCGCCTTTCACACATATTCCATAATTACTTGTCGCCCGGTGTCTACCATAGTCATAAGTATGAAAAGTATAGCCTCGGATGAAATACATCGATGATGCAGTGACCTTTGCAACTGGACCTTGAAGTAATTCGCGAAACCATGCGGGATACTCAGGATCGTCATAATCAACCTGCAAAAACGTAATTAATAGAACTAGACATTTGACTTACTTTGTGGTAATGTATGCATAAAATTTAAGCTATAACTAGATATTGACCCGCCCTTTAGAAGGGCGGGTATAATTTTTGTTTTAATATTTCTTGAGAATTCTTTTTTTATATTTGTGTGTGTTTTAATCATATTTGTGTTAAATATTAATTTAACTAAATATAATTTTTGGTAATCATATTAAATAGGTCATGTTGCATAACTATACATTTGTGCCATATACATTTCAGAAATTAATTTTAATTTTATTTATAAAGTTTGCAACATATTTATATTTTCTTAGTAGTTACCTAGCTATAACAATTATAATTGTTGACGTAAAAAAAACTTACATATCATTTATCAATTGTTCAGGATCTTAATGTAATATAATATAATTTACTAATTATTATCAAAATATATATTGAGGTATTAAAAGAAACAGAGATGAATTATATTTTGAATATGAAATAAACAATTCAACTTTTAAATTTCTACTTATATAAATCATTAATTTATGATTTTGATGGGACCAAAAAACATAGAATTTTCTTTAAAATTATTATCTTAACGACTTGTGTACTATAAAGACGTGGTCCAACTCGGGAATGAAAAAAAAATAGTTTACCATCTTTACTACGAAATTCATTATTGTTAAGTATGATTTGTTTGATTATTAATGTAAGTTTGTCCTTGATTTAGTTTCTTTTAAAACAAAATTAAACAAATTAAACATAAAAACCTATCGACCAATCAAATAAAAAGATTTAATTGGAGAGTTCTGCTATGAATGACACATAAACCAAAATCATTAAAGTGATTTTTCAATTAATATATAGTATGATATAAATAAATCAAAAATAAAAATCTATCAACCAATCAAATTAAAAAAAAAATATTTGGAGAGCTCTTCTATGAATGGCGTATAAACCAAAAACACTAAAGTGATTTCTAAATTAATATATAGTAGGATATAAATAAA